CTGCCCCGCGCCGCCTCCCTCCGCAGGTTCGAGGAGGCCCTCGAGGAGGCCCGGCAGGTGGACAAGCTGCTCGCCGAGGGTCCCAACGACGACATGCTGGAGGAGAAGTTCCCCTTCCTGGGTGTGCCCGTCACCGTGAAGGAGGCCTTTGCACTGCACGGTGCGTTGGCGGTGGCTCTTGCCCCTGCCCTGCCTCGGGCAGCAGGGAACGACCTCCCTCTCCCCATCTGCATCCTTTGCACCCAGGCACCCCATGGCCATTCTCCTTCCTGTCGCCCCCACGCTCGGGGTGTTTGATCACTGTCCTGGGAGCAATCCCTGGGGAGCTGGCACTGACCCCTCTCTCTGCTCGCTGGTCCTGGTGCCACAGGGATGCCCAACACATCGGGCCTGGTGAGCCGCCGCAATGTGATCGCTGCGTCAGACGCTGCCGTGGTGTCGAGGCTGAAGCAGGCGGGCGCCATCCCGCTGGGGGTCACCAACTGCAGCGAGCTGTGCATGTGGTACGAATCCAGCAACAGGGTCTACGGGCGCACCAACAACCCCTACGACCTGCAGAGGATCGTGGGCGGCAGCTCAGGTGAGACTCCATGCCTCAGTGTGGGCCTGGGTCGCCCTGTCTCCCTATGGATGTGAATGGCAGCACTTGGTGGGGCACTTACATGGGGAAGGTCACTGTGGTGTGAGTTGTCCAGCTGCCCCTCAGGCTTCTCTAGGACTGAGGTGGCTCCTGTCCCACCTGCACATGAAGAGAAGTGTCAGGCGCACTCCTGTGTCGTGGACATCCTCCTCTACAAGCTGTGGGCTTTTGCTGTCTGTTCTGCTGTGCAGGTGGGGAGGGCTGTGTCCTGGCAGCCGCCTGCTCCGTGATCGGTGTGGGCTCCGATATCGGTGGCAGCATCCGGATGCCTGCCTTCTTCAACGGAGTCTTTGGCCACAAACCCACCACAGGTAAAGCCGGTGGGAGACCCACAGGGGAGACCGTGCAAGGGGCAGAGGGGACTGTGCATCTCCCCGTCACCAGGAGCTTCTGGAGGTGAAATGTGCGGGGAGGGCTGTGCAAGGAACGCATTCAGGATGCTCCTTAGTTGTTGTTGTGTAAATTTTGACATGCTGGGAGTGCTGCAACTGAGCAGGCGGTGCTCTAACTCAGGAGTGGGAAGTTACTTTATCGCTGAGCATCAAAGGCATGGGAGGTGGGAAGTGGCTTGCACATGGTATTGCAGCCTCCATGTGGGACGTTTTCCCAAGGTCAGTATCTAGCTTGGCAACCACAGGTTGACATAAGGCACCTTTCCATAAGCCTGTCTGGGGGCGGTTATCAGCCTCTGGAGATGCAGTGCAATAGGCAGGGCTCTCGTCGGTGC